ATACGGGCATTTCTGGTTCCAGCCCTTGCTGCTTTGCCCAGAGAATGGAGATCCTCACAGACATTCGGGGGTCCATTGCACGGGGTCTGGGCTCCTCTGTGCAAGGCCCTTGGGGGTGCAGTACTGTCCTAGGGATCCCTGCAGGACCTCAGTTGCAACCTGGTGCTGTGCCCAGGGATAGGGGGGATCCCAGAGGAAGAGTCTCGGGGAGTTTCAGCTCTTCTCTCTCCAGTTCAGTCCTGCTGTGCCGAGTGCCCCTGCAAGGCCTCCGTGCCCTCAGCTCCCACCAAAGTGAGGCGGGACGTACAACTGGCGTGTGCGACGGCTCCAGCCCCCAGGGTGTAGAGGGCCAGAGCGGGGCTTTCACTACAGACAGCTCCCACTGGGCTGCCTGGCCTGGCCCTATCTCCCCCTGCATCCTCACACAGCCCGTCTCTCAGCCAGCCCCGAGCTGCCCCGCACCCCAGACACTACCTGGACAACTTCGGCAGAGAACCCCAAAATAAAGCCCCAGCGTGGGCCCCGGCTCCCAGAGGCTTTTCCATCAGCCGAGCTCGAGCTGTGACCCGGGGACCCCAGCAGGAGTCTGCTTACACCCCACACTTCTCTCCAGGCCGTCGGCCTGGAAGTCACCTAGGAACTGGATTCTTCCCCCTGCTCCAGGCGCCTACCCACTTCTGGTATCTTCCTCGCCCCACTGAGCTCCTGCTGGACCAGCCCCACGGGGTCAGTCACACTGTGACAAGTGGGTAAAAGGACCAAGAGGTCTGTGGTGTAACCACACCAGCTCCCACCTGTTGTAAAGGTAACCCTGGCCCTTCCATCCCCCCGCCCCCCCATTGGCTGTCAACTTCTTGCTTTTTTTCCATCTAATCTGCACTGTGAGCTCCCTGGGGCATTGTCTGCAAAGTGGCAGGGCCAGCTCTGGGCTCTGGGCCAGATGACTGCTAGGAAGGAAACCGTTCCATAAACAGAGCAAACGCGAAGGACAATTGGGGCTGCTCTGGCCTTTGCCTTCCCAACGTTTTTTTCCCCATGGAAAATTGGGGTTTTGACACAACAAAACTCTTCATAGCAAACGTTGGCTTTGCTGTAGTAACCGCACAGTGCTGGGGCGGCTCAGCTCGGGCTCAGCAGGGCTGATTGATGCCTGTGGACCGTATGCACCCTGCACCGCATCTCGTCTGCCATTTACCCCTGGGCAGCGTGCAGAATGCTCCCAGAGCAGAACAGGCGTGTCCTAGCCGGGCTTTGCCCAGTGCACGCGACGCCGGGCGCCAAGCAGCCGTGCAGGAGAGCTACTTGGGCATTGGTTGATAAAACTTGGTTTGGTCAGAAAGCGCTAATTTGTTGAAACCAAAACTGTTTGTGGGAAAGGGTCATTCTGAAAAATTTGGGGGAAAGGAGTTTTGAAATGGCTGAAGTGAAAAAATTGGGGGTTTCTTTCTTTGCAAATAGCTTTGGGTTTAGACACTGAAGCGACTGACCGTAAAAACTAAAAAAAATAAAAAATAAAACAAAACATTTCAAAAGCGGCGAGACAAAATCTTTAGCTTGACCCGAACGGATTTTTTTTTTCCATTTACTGGTTCACAGAAATTTCCGAGCTTGTGATTCTTGGGTCCTGATTTAGGACTGGAAGTTTTTTGGCAATCTCAGTCTTGCCCCCAGGACGTGTAAACCGTTCCCCACTCGGAGCGGGAACCCTTTGAAATCCGCCTGGCTAGGGCTGAATTGTGGGCTTGGCCGGTGGCGTAGGGGAGGAGTTTTCAGGGTCACTGATCCTCACAGGGGAGCTGGGGGGGAGCTGGTGCAGCCTGGGGCAGAAGAGAGGCCGCCTGAGGCCTGAAGTGGCTGTCCCCTGGCAGCAGGCAGGTGGCGCTCCCGCACCATCCTCTGGCTTCCCACGGTGCTCCCGAGCTCCCTGCATTTTGGACGAGGTGGGAGAGGTTCTGGCTTTTACTGGACGGGGCGAGCTTGTCCGCAGGGCTGGGAAGAAGTTTTGCAGTGAGTTTCCTTCTCTCTTTGGGACTCCCCGAGGCGTGTGCTGTGGCATTACCCGTTACAGTCTGGCTGGGCCAGCCCTTTAAACCCGGCCCCCCTCCCCACCTTTTGCAGCCCTCCGCCCCCTGCAAGACGTGTCGAGGTCTGCGTTGAGCTGGGAGAAGCGACGTCTCGGTATGAGGAGGAGGCGGAGGAGCCCAGCAGGGCCGGCGGTCGCCTAGGGCACCAGGATTTGGGGGGGCGGCAATTCGGCGGCGGGGGGGTCCTTCCGCGCTCCGGGTCTTCAGCGGAAATTCTGCGGCGGGTCCTTCACTCGCTCCAGGACCCGCCGCCGAAGTGCCCCGAAGACCGGGAGCGTGGAAGGACCCCCCCCGCCGCAGAATTGCCGCCGACGACCGGGAGCGCGGAAGGACCCCCGCCTAGGGCGCCAAAAACCCTGGCGCCGCTCCTGGAGCCCAGACGTCCCATCCAGCAGAGCTTTGCCTGGCATCATCGGCGGCTGGCGCCGGCACACGGTTGGCAGGGAGCCAGTGGGGGAAGGACACGAAACCAACCAGTTCTGACCCAGCCATCAGTCACCACCATTATTCCTCCGGTTCCGGTTGGAAATGGCCATCAGGCCTCCCTCCGGGAGGAAAATACCCTCGTGTCCCCTTCGACGGCACATCTGGGCCCTGGGGGAAGGGAGCAGATTTGGGTGGGTCACTGCGGAGGTGAGGGAGCTGTGCCATTGGCTCCGGCTGCCCGCAAGCCCCAGATCTGGCTGAGCTGGGCTGGGCGTGGCACCGGGGCGTGGGGACAATGGGGCGTGTACGGCAGGTTAGCACTCCCCCGTCCCCAGCGCCGCCAGGGGCTGACAGGCTCAGGGCTGGCTTCATGCCACCCAATGATTCCCCATGTGCCCTGCTGGGGTTGCTTTCTAGCCCCTTTGCACCACTGGAGGGGCACCAAGGAGCAGCCCTGTGACGCCCGCTGGAGCTGGAGCTGCTCAGTCTCCCTGAAAATCAGCCTCCCGGGGTCTCCAGCTGGGAATCCCCCAAACTGAGACGCTGCTTCTGGCCCTTTTGGCCGACGCTTTTCCCGAGCCCAAGGTGCTAATGCTGAGCCCAGGAGTCAGAGACGGACGCTCTCCCTTTCTGCTCTGCAGCCGTGTCTCCTTCCGGCAGCGAGCGGCTGCTAGCGAGCTCTGCCTGGCGCGCGCTGGGGCCGGAGCGGACAGCAAGGTTTAGGGCCTGCTCTTCTGAACAGCATTTCCCAGCTGTGCTGACACCAAGATGGGTCCGATCCCCGAATGCTCCACGGGCCCTGGGAGTGAAATGGGGGAGTTGCTGCCGGGGTGGGAGGCAGGGAGCGTCATGCTCACCCTGCCCAGCAGCTGGGCAAAGGACGAACGTGTGTGCTAGTGCGGTGAGAGGCCTGGACCCCACAAGGCAGGAGCACCCTCAGTGCCACACACTGCGCTGTGCCCTGCCATTGGACCCGGCTTGGGCTGTGCCATCCCTGTTCTGCCACAGACTGGGTCAGGGGCCCACCCGTCTCTGCAGGGGAGAGCAGCCCAGTGACTGACAAATGCCCTGGGAGCCCTGGTCTGACAAACAGCCTCCTCCCAGCCATTGGCTCATCGCAAGAGACGCTGCGCCCGGAGCCCATTTCCCGGGCACCCACGGGGAGCATTTCAAGAAAGCAGGCGGGAAAGGCAAAGACCCAGGGTGGGAATGGCCGATGCTACAGCCAGGCAGGGGGCTGCACCATCCCCTCTTCTCTCTAACAACCCCACCTGCCTGAGGCTCGCCTGAGAGCCGGGGCCAGGAGCCCCCGCGGCCCCGCAGGGGAAGGATCGGACATCAGCACTTGCCGCAGGACAGGAGGGGTCAGCTTTATTCATTCCTGACCTGGTGCTGAGAGGTAGCGCCCAGGGGCTTCCCCTCACGCTGGGTCTGCAGCCTGAGGCGTGTCGCCATGCAGGGCCGGCCTTAGGGCAGATGCAGGGACTAACGCTGGCCCACAGGAAATGCCACACACACCCACACACACCCACACACGCACACCCACACACTTCAGCCCCCTGGGGCTCACACAGGTAGGGCGCAAAGGGGGAGGCATTGTACCCTGTAGACCAAGTTGAGGCCCTGGCTCTTTGCTGGGTCCCCCAGCCAGCCCCCATCGGCTCAGCAGGGCCGGGCTTCGCGCTAGGAGCCCTTCAGGATGCACCCCACCCTGGCACCGAGCTGGAAAACCTCCTCAGCCGGGGAGGAGGGTTGGCACGGCCCGAGTGCGCCATGTAGACGCGTCGATGCCTCGGGAGCACATGGTGCTGCCCGGACACCAGGCCTCAGGTTATCAGGAGCCATGAACAGCATCTCCCCAAACAGAGACAAGGGAAAAGGGTGCCTGGGACCCTGAGACGGCCTCGGGATATAGTGCCACCTGCACTGGGCTGTGGGGACACAGGGGGCCCAGCCCCCCAACACCCCATCCCGGTGGTTGTACCCGCCCTGGCACAGCCCCAAGTGTCCGGCTCCTCCCTCTCTTCCGCACCGGGTATCCGGCTCACAACATCTCATTGAACTGACCCAACACGGTCCCTGCCCCCGCGCGCTCACAGGCTGACCTAGCCGCCTCTAGCCGGGAGAGGGGGTCGGGTGGGGAGAAGGAGAGGCAGAGAGCAAGGGGCAGGGGCGCCGTTCTGGGGAGAGGCTTGTTTCCCCAGATGTAAATAATTTAATTTGTCCCCACCCATATCTATTTACTGACCTTTCCTGATCAGGCACATCAGAGTGACAGCTGTCAATCACTCCCCCAGCCCCCTGAGCCCAGCCCTTCCCCTCTTTCTAAGGAGGTGTAGCAGTGCCCCTTCACCACGCCCAGCACGGCTGGCAGTGCCCTGCCCCAGGCCTTCCCTCGTCCAGCCCCCAGAGCGGCTCGTCTGGGAGTCAAATGCAAAGGCCGTTATTGTTGGGCCTGGCTCGGAG